ATCACTTTAAAAAAATAATCTTTTTAGCTTTGTAACAACCAAGGGAATCGATTTTTAGTCATTAAATTTTTACACTTCCCGCGTAAAAAATAGTTCAGGCGCACCTGTATGATACAATGCAAGGCTATTAAGTGTACATAAATTCAAAGTTAAATGTAAAAATAAAATTAACATTTATTCGTTAGATAAGTCAAGATAAAATGTATGGTATAAAATGTCAATATATATCTAAATTGGGTTGATTTATTATTTGAGTGATTATAAATTAAGTAATAAAGCTGATAAGTGTAAATAAGAAATTTTAAAATATTGATATTTTAGACAACTCTTACGATGTTTAATGTAATTTTTAAGATAATGTATTTTTGTATTGATATCGTTACGGTTAATTTAAACTATTACCACAAAACATAAAATAATATTATAGTAACTCAAAAAAATAAGTATAAAATTTAATCAATGATTAAAATGATGTATAAAAATTAGTTAATTTGTTGGTCTTTTATGAGCATGAGAATAATTAAATTACTATAATATAATTTTATCTAGGGATATGAGTACGATGGTTTCATGAGAAGATGTAAAATATAGAAAAGCAAAGTGATGTTTGAAAATCGATTAATATAATAATTGTTTGAAATAGAAATTATTGTTATTATTTATCATACATAGACTATCCACAACGCCACTCGTACCAATAGTTATCTAAGCTTGTGTCGACTGTGAGCCGTGTCAGTAAATACCTCGACTAGTATAGTAACCACAAGTGGGTTCTCTATCTTGGAAATAGAGTCTTTATTAGTATTGACTACACAGGTAACCCGCTCAAATATTGGACTAGGCTGGCCGTTAACTTCGTACAAACGTTATTGATTTTCATTATTTATTTAAACAATATTTTATTCTAGAAATAACTTTATTTTTCTGGTTCCCTACTGAAATTATGTACTCATTATACTTAACTTTAAACCTTATAAATCTTTCGTGAAATATGCATTTACCTTAATGATGTCAGGAGTAAGGTCGAAAAAATGAATATGCATCAATTTTTTATGTAAAATCGTATTTTGTTTAGCCACATCTTGCACTCGTTGAAAGTTCATAAGGTGAAGGAGTAGTGATTGGCAGTTATTATGCCCTTTTATATTAAATTTAATTCGTCTATATGTGTAAGAAGGGTCACGACCTTTTACTATTATCCGGTTATTACTCAATTGTGTTATTTATTACATATTATTTTACTTAAAATAGATTATTTGTCACAACTAAAGAATTTCTTATAGTTATTACATTAGATTTGTATCAGTGCATTTGTAGACATATTTCTCGGAATAGTTTAAAGGATTGACATGAGTATTATATATTTGATTTGATGACTAATAAACAATAATTTATAGACTACTGAATAATGAGTGGTGTATGTATTATAACAATATTTGCATATTGGGCCGTGGAATAGTTAGCATAAGTATAGATGAAATCTGATTAAAATCACTATCATAAGAAACGCTTCGATGCAAAACCTGTAGATAGTGTTTAATTTTAAGAAATTAGTGGATTATTCCAAAAGCAAAATTAACTCTTATTTTTTGTTCATTTTCGACTGCCATTTGCATATAGAAAATAGGTTGTCGGGACAAACTTTTTTTTTATTTTACAGTAGGTAATTTAAGCTTTAATTTAACAAATGTTTAAAGGACAAAATATTTCTGGAACGTTTTCAAAAGTTAAGTTGAAAAAGTTCTACTTTTTATACGTATTTTTATAAGCATTTATAAAACAATAATTGTTTATCAAAAAGTTATGTCAGTTTTAAGTAAAAAATTTTAAGATTTACCAATATTAAAAACAGTAATTTTTTGTGGGCTTTCTACTTTTTACATGGAAAGAGAAAATTTTTTAATTTTTTAAAGTAATGTATTCATTAGATACAACATGTGATCTTTTGACATGTCGTTGAAAAAATCGGTCCAGTGAAAATTTAGAAATAGTAAATTTTTAGTTTCGTATCGAAATTAAAAAGTTGAGTATAGTTGGGATTCACAAAAAAAGAGATGAGCATTTTTTTAAATTAGTTTAATTAATATTTAAATGTTTTAATTCATTGTCACAAAACACTTCAATACGTATTTGAACAAAATTTTAAAAAGTTACATAATAATTAACTTAGAGGTCGGTCATTAAGATACAAATAAGCTTTAATTCTATTTTGTTTAAATTATGTAAATGTTCCGTTGTTATGCAAAACATTCTTAATAACTACATCCTCCCCCACCAAAAAAAAAACAACATGGCAGAGTAAAACCAATAGTTTCTCAGCTATGGATCGATGCTAAAATAAAAAATCTTGGTGTATTTTACTCAATCCAACCACATTGTAAATTAAAAAAAAAATACACAGTGAATTAATATTGTTAAAGTTTATTGTAAGAAAAAATGATTTAAAAATAAAATAAATAAAATTTATATTATTAATAAATTAATTAATTAATATTAATAATTAATATATTTTAATTTTAATAAATTAATTTTAAATTATTTAAAAATATAAGGTAGGTGGGGGATAGTGTTTAGTAATCCTACATTTTTATCACAACACACAAATAAAATTCTTTCGAGTTGTGGACCCCTCTCTGCTTATAACTAAAAACTCAAAATTAATATTAGAATACTAGTTATCGACCAATTAAAATGTTATTTAATCAATTATCTATAAAATAGTAAAAAAAATTAATAATAAGTTTTCAATTTACTCATAGAAATAATTTTTTCATACCAATACAGAACCATACCACAGTATTACAGGGCTTACCTTTCAGTATTAAAAAAATTTAATTCATACATTTTTATGAAAAAAAATCATTATTTAACGCAAAAACTAGCAATAGTATTCTCATATATACTTGGTGATAATCACATTGTATATTATTTAAAAAATAATTTTATCTAAAATGTTGCCTACCAGAAAAATAAAAAAACTTCATTTTTAAAAGCGTTTATTCTAGTAAATATTGTTTTTTTTAAAAATGCTCAAGTGTGTTTTATAAACGATTATTGTTTTTTTAATACATTGGTATATTTATAAACTGAATATTTAAATGTTATTACTAAAAAACTGATTTTTTTGCACAAAGTTTCCTATATTACCGGTAGCAAACATCAAACATAAGAGAATTTTAAGGGACGTCAAGATCAAAACCTTTTACCAAAATTCAGCTTTCGTAAATTTTAGCTTCGATGAGAAACTGAGAAGGTATTGGTTTTACTATGATGTGTTTTTTTTTTGTGTCTGTTACCACTTTTTCTCAGCTCTCACTGAACGGATTTCTTTCAACGATACGTCAAAAGATCACAAATCGTATCTAGTCGAAGACATTACCCTCAAAAATTGAAAAAATTTCCCTCGTTCCCCGTAAATTTGAATCCTCCAAAAAGGAATCCTCCAAAAAAATTACAAATTTGAAAATCGCTAATTTTCGAGATTTTTTCAATTCTTTTTTCTATAAACTGCCATAACTTTTTCAAAAATAAACATATCAATATAAATTTTTTTTATATAAATGCTTGATGTCTTAACCTATCATTTAGTATATTTTTTTTGTAAATCTGACCCCTTATCTGTTTACAGGGGGGGATTTAAAATAACAACTTTTTCAACTTAACTTTTGAAAATGTTCCGGAAAGTCTGACACTTTTGTATATATCTTAAATTAAAGCTAATGTAATATACTTTAATTTGACAAAAAAAAAAATTGACCTCTGGACTTGTCTTCACGGCGAAAATGGCTACCGAATGCTATTTTCGTGTGAAAATTCTCGATTTTATTTTTTATATTTTTAACTTTATAATGCTATTGACACGGCCCGCGTCGCTTCGTTATACACGATGCCCCGCGACTCGTGCCACCTTTATCAGCCGTCGCCCTACTATGAGTATTTGACTGACCAACACCGCGTGTTATACGCTACGGTGCAAAGTCCAGCAAATGCCGCACGGCCGACGACGACCCGCCGCAAATGGTGCGAGAGTCTTCCTCCCGTTGTGAAAGCGACAACGTCGACAGCCGAACCGCACCCGCGCACCGTCGCCTACAACGCTGCTAACCATTTTGCCGTCCAAGGATTACGCCGAACATCGCGTCGTCGACGCCAGCGAAAGTGCCGCGATATTATGCGAAGATTATTATTACTGTGTTTATCTTTTCGGTTTGTTTTATTTTTGTTAACATAATCTGTTGTCGCTCATTTAATAAACGGCCCACGGGTCTCTACCCTCAAAACCAGTGTCGACCACATTTTTGCGACGCAAGTCGTGTCACTATAACTTATTGAAAAGTGTATGGATCAACACAATTTTTTTATGAGAAATAATATTTTTTTAATAATCCCTTTTTCATTCGACATACTTTATCTTAATCAAGATATTAATAAGGAACTAGCAGATCATGTAGCTTTTGAAATAATACACCAATTTTTTTAAAATTAAACACAATCTAAAGATTGACTTCGAAGCGTTTATTTTTGATAATGATTTTNACTAGCAGATTATGTAGCTTTTGGAATAATCCACAAATTTTTTAAAATTAAACACTATCTAAAGATTTGCATCGAAGCGTTTATTTTTGATAATGATTCTAATCACTGTCAGATATCATTATACTTGATCCAACTATGCGGCGACCCCCCTGTGCTGGGTTTTTTGCTTGTATTTTCTCTAAATTATTAGTTCCTATAAACATTTTTTTAATTTTACTAAACAAGTGTACGTTTTTATCATAACCTATTTCTTCACAAAATTGATCTTATATTCTCTATCGGTTTCGGCCACACTAATAAAATAAGAACGCAATCAAAGAAATAAATTAAAATATTAGTGAGATTAAATATAAAAATTTGTTTGTAAAAATCTGTGTGTACTTAAATTATTTATCTAAATAATTTGTGTCTCTGACGTATTAGAATACTACAAATAGTACAAGTTTTGTTTGGATGGGATTTTTTGATAATATATAATGTGCGTGTGTTATATAATGGCATAGCAAACGTTTTAATCTACCGTAACAACTGTATTCATAAATTAGAAAATGTATTTGAAACTAATTATTTTTACAATTCTCTCTTTATTACTTTTGAAGTCTAATTACACCGTTCACTGTAAGCCTAATAGGGAACTTTATGAGAGATATTTAATTAATGTATTAAACCATATTGAAATACAGCCTGGATGGTCGTCAATGGAACACTTGTATCTTAAGCACAAAAATAATCAGATTACAACCGTTAGTGACTTTAAGAATGAAAAAACAAATACAGAAAACTACAAAATAAAACTCTATATGGTCACTAATTTTATTAATTGCAGGTATGCGGAATTACTAGGAATATTTAACAATTTACTGGAAAATTTTATAGCTAAGTGTAGCAACGATCTATCCAAAAATATGAAGGATGAATTTAATTTTTGTGTTATTAAACTTAGTGATACAATTAAACAATCATCAGATATTTTTGAAAAATTATCGGCTATAATTTCATTCATTGACCAATTAGATCTACGAATAATAGATGACGACTTGGATAATTTATACACTATAGTCGAGGACGTAAATAATTATAAGAGGTTTTTTCAATGGATAAAACAAATGCAACCATTGGTCACCGAACCAACTATTAATGATCTCTCGAGAAATTTAATTAAGGATTATAATGACATAAGAAGGTTTTACGAAAATAATGCGAAACCAAAATTTAAGGTACTTATGAACAGGATTCAATCAATTTGCGTTATAAACGAAAATCAATTTCAGTCTGATTTTTACATGGACTATTTTATTATATATGATTATGAAGGTGGCCAAATTTCATCAACGAAGTCTCATCAATTTATCATTGATATTAGTAAAAAATTTCAAATGTTTTTTGATCAAACTTTCAAGAAAGATTACATATATATGGGTTTTGAAAAATTGATTTCTTCAAATACTTCAAGGTAAGAATTTAAAAAATAATAATAATTCTAAGAACACTTTTTAAAATTTATAACTCAATAATTTAAAAAAGAATTTGTATTATTTAGTTTTTGATTCATATTAAACAATTTAGTTTCAAATTAAGATCATAAAACAGAGGTTTAACAAAGCGTAACTCGTATTCATGAATTTGATACCGACATACAATTACTTATCAAAGAGCAGGAATAGAATCGCAATGATTAAAGATGTTTGTCAACTTAAATTAAGACGGTTTTTGTTTGTATTTCTTTATTATAAAAAGTAAAATCGGAATTATTTACAAGAAAGGCACATATTATATATGAAACATCATGTTCTTTCGAATAGTTACACTATCGTTCATATTCATAAAGTTTTTTTTCATTTTGTTATACATTTGATGTCAAACATTGATATAAAGAGAATTTGCAGTCCATTGATAGAATGTCTAAGGATATAAATAAATAATTGTGATATTCTAAAAACTCATATGACTAAAGACATATTATGTCATCGGCAAGACAGTTTTGTAATGTTATCAATAAGCAACTCAAATAATCCATCTAGTTTTTAAAAAAGTTATTTCAATATAAAGTAAAAACTGAAAATATCAAAACTTACTATTTTATAACAATTGTAATTATTAGGGACATTTATAATTATAAATTTATTTTGTATTATAATTTTATAATAGATATTGTAATAAAAAAAAGTCTCCCGAATAATTACAGTTAACATAAAATAATAAATTTTATTATTTTTAGTGTTGAAATAACTTTTTTGAAAACTGGACGGATTATTACGAATTATTATTAATAATACTAAATAATTTATCTTGTTGACGACATAACATATTCCAGTCACCTAGCGTGATAAATAAATGATATTGGAAGTTCATAATTCACAGTTATTTGAAATAGAGTGATTAAGAATGAATTAAAAAAATACTCTTAATAAATAAATGTTCAACATTAAAAATTCTCCAGTTTCATATTTTGTAAATTTTACTAATAGTAATGAAAAATATTAAAGGAAATTTCAATGTCTTCAACTATCTTCAACTATTTCATTAAAAATTGAGCACACTAGGTAATAGACATTAAAAAAGCAATAATAAATGCATCACAGTAAAATTAATATCTTCTCAATTTTTCAAAAATAGAAAATATATATTATATTTTTTTTTTGAAAATTTATTTTATTCAAATAACTTTATAAAATTTACATCTATATAATGTATATGCACAACCGTAAATGGGTTAACAGTAGTGAAAAAAAAAATTACAATATGACTTGAATAGCATGCAGCAGGGGGGCACCCAATGGAACTACCTACTTTGAATTTTGTTTTTTGATTTCATTTTTTTTTTTTTTTCTATAAGAGGTCTCTACACCATTTTCTTTTTAATCTTCTTGGCGGATTGTCGGGGATGTGTTTTGAATAGAGGTATTGAATATTAGGGTTTGGGTGAGAGTTAAATTTGTTATGAAGTTTTAGGTAAGCAGTTTTGGCAATATTGTTAACATAACTAATTTGAAGATCTGAATGGAGAGTTTTATTAGGGACGTACCAAGGAGAATTGGTGAGTGTTCGTAGGCAAATGAATTGAAAGGATTGGATTTTTTGGATGTTGGATGGATATATTATATTATAAATTTCTTATTGTTATTATTACAGTAAAAATCTTAATATTTTATTGGAGTAGAATATACTAAAAATAATGACCAAGTCATAATTAATATAACGTGTCCATTAATCAAACCATAAAAATTTTTTTTTTTTTCCAAAATTCAATAGTACACACCAAAAGAAGGTAACAACGATTTAATCATTTTTTATCTATTTATTCAGCTTGTTAGAATTTTTGCTATAAATTAAATGCTACATTGTTTGAAAAATTGAAACAAATAATATATTAAATGTTTTTTTTTGTGTATTTTGTTGAGAAAAATACTAGATTTTAGAATAAAATCTAAAAAAATAATTTTAAATATATATATATGAAAATTGAACGATATTTTACAAAAATTCCATTTTTTATGCTCTATTTAAATTTGCAGAAAAGTGCTTTTGAGCAACATCTTAGAATAAATAAAATAAACTCAAATTCAGACGGCAACCTTCTTCTAGTGTGCACTTCCAATTATAGAAAAATAAAACAAAATTTTTATGGATAGTATAGAGTCTACAATATACAGCTTATTTTATGTTTTGATTTATGAATTAATATAACTATTCTGATATATTATAAAGAAAACTATAAATTTATACATATATGTATGGCTACTCTAATTATTATTATAATAAATATTCCAATGAAAATCTGCCATTATTCTATTTTTATATATATTCAGAAAACTAAAACCACCGTCAAATAATTGGTTATATAAAAATGTACAAGAATTCCTCAGAAAAATTTTAACGTATCCCGGTTGGAGTAAATTGGATTATATAAAAGTAATTGTGAGCGGCGTTCTTGTCAGCAATGATAATTTAATTAAAACCGTTGGTGATAAAAGTTTTGGATATATACATAAACAAGTCACTATGTTAATTAAATGTAGATACGTAGAAATAATTTATTATTTTAACATCATGTTGAATACTCTCGTAAAATCATGTTATAATGAAAAAAAAATGAATGAAACTTCGCAAACTTTTAATGCAGATACAATAAATCTGTTTACTAAATGTGCTGTTTATGTTCACGATTCAATGAAAAATTCAGCAGATATGTTCAAATCTTTGCTAATTGCATTGGAAAAAATAAGGATGTCTTCAAAAGTTGTTAGTAAGCGCACGTCCATTATACCTGTAGAAATGATAATTAATAAAATAAAAAATTTTATTGATGACTTCCAGTTGAATAACTATGCAGCGTGCGATTTCGATGAGGTTATTGCTACTCAGTACTTGGAAAGTTTTGAGAAATTTCTAGTTGAAAATATAAACGCTACGCTTGATGTTATTACAACCACAAATACGACATACAGTGATTTCTTTTTTAATTTATTAAAGGGAAATTATTTGAAAGAAAAATTGTACGCATCGTTAGAATTACCGTCAGAAGAGACAAATGTTTCGTATAAAAAGTTATGTGAATATTTAATCAAGTTCTGCAATGATGTAATTTGGGATGACTTTAGAAATCTTGGTTTTGAGCAAACTATTCTTTAGCTGTACTTTTGAAACTATTAAAACCAATAAACCTATAATTTATATTTTATGAGTATTAATTAGTTATTGTATTTCACATTTAATTATTTATAAGCATTCCTAAGAAAAGCTTCTCGAAATATCATCAAAAATAATTGAGGCTTACTATTATTGTATTTTTTTTAAACATTAATAGTTTTTTCTGAGTTACTTTAAACGATAAATCAATCTTCTGCTATCCAACCTTATGCCCTAAGATATCTACTTCCATTTTACAAATGACTTTTTTTTAATATTATATCTAACTGGTCGGTAGCTAACGAAATATTAACGTAACATTTTGATCTTTAATGTAGACTTTATTTCATACGATATATTTTTTTTATACACTTTGCGATACGACGTTTTGCTTTAGGTGCGTGCACATTTGCAGATGTCCGACTACAACTAGATGACATTTAAAAGCCTGCGCGACATCGCCCCCTACCACCTACTCGCATTCAATATTTAATAAAATTTACACCACTAACAATAATTAAAGTAACTCTCTTAAAAATTAAATGGTTTTTGAATTTAAAGAACGATTACTCATAGAGAAATAATCACCGAAACGATTTTATTTTTTTAATCATATATTGAATTAAACAAAATTTAATATGAATTTATTCAGAATTAAGTAAATATTCCATTATTTTGCAAAAAAAAAATCAAATTCGGTAATTACTAAAAATTGTATGATATTTAGACTAGTTAACTAATAGATCTTACAAATTATGTGTTTCAATAGTTTTTGTTTATCAGCTTCAATGCGAACCTGAGAAGGTATTAGTTTAACAATGTTTATTATGATGGTATTTATTTTATGACTGTCCGTTAAAATTCTCTTCCCTTGCTGGACCATTTTTAATGATAAATACGTCAAAAGAACTCGATTTTAATCTTGTTGAACTTTTTGAAATTTGAAAAAAACCGACTCATTTAAAAATTTAAAAAAATATCTTAAAATTAGGATACCATAAAAAATGGCATTTTCAAATTCTTTTTTTTATTTTAAAATTAATATGACTTTTTAAAAAAACTCGCATAAATTATTTATAAGATATATAAAAGAAAATGAGCTTTCTTTTGTTTTGCTATATGTGAAAATCTGATAAAAAACCTATGCACAGAAAGAGTTAAAAAGGACCATTTACGCATGTAAACATTATTTTCAACTCAATTTTTAAAAATATTCCGGTACGTCTAATAATTTTTATAATATACCAAATTAAAGCTTTTCAAGTTTACTACAAATTAAACAAATATCTCACTATTGATCTATTTGAATCCCGGTGGTACATTCTGTATACTTGAAATTAAATTAAAAATTCAACAATGATATTATTTTTAGTACATGTCATCACTTACAAGGTTGCATTCTTATTTAAATATGTGTTATCAAATATATTTGTATTGTCGAAACGATGGTATTTCATGTACTTTATATTCCTATAGTATAGTAATTATTTGTTTAGCAGAAGTGTATAGATTAAACGATTGCAGAAATGTTCAATACACTTTTAGTGATAAAAGAAATTATTTAACAAGCCTTTAATATCTGAGAGAAATTTAAGAAACATAGAAATTGTAAAATTACAATTATAAAAATTATTGTGAAACATTAAAGATTCGTTTCAAAGCGTGTTTTTATGACAGTGATGAGAATTACTGTCAGATATCATCTATATTTATCCCAATTCTCCCGCATCCCCAGTATGCTCCGTTAATCTGTATTGGGTTTTTTTTTATTTAAAATTTTTTTTTAATAAATAAAACTTTAAACCTATAGGTATTTATTACTACTCTAATTACTATTGTGATGATATCATGTCATCAATATTGTTTGAAATAATAAAATAGAACAAATTTATATAACACATCTACCATTAGTGACTAATAATTTGACAATTAAACAAAAAAATGCAACTATACATTCAATTAATATTTACTTAAACCCCATCGACCTGGTTATCGTGGTTAATCAATTCTAGTACACACCTTGAGAGTTATAGTCTAACATCAGTCTCTGTATTTGATCATTGCTGACAGATTTTCAACCTAACATCAAGAGTTTGTTTATTCATAAATCCTTTGACTACCTTGTACGCTCTTTCACTTAACTCAAATACTCTTGCCTTAGATCTTGCTGCTGTTTGGTTTTATCTTTTTGATGGTACGCTAAGTACTTGTGTTTGTACCTTATACGATGGTCTTTCTATCTAATCCTTTTCATATCGACGGCTATTCGACATACCCTCGATAGTACTGGAGTGTCAGTCAACCATACTATGACTTATTATATTTAATTTTGTCTTAGGTCATTACAATGAATGTATTTGTAACTATAAAAACTTTTCATTCTTATTTTGTTGTGTATAATTAGGAATCTGATCCCACCGGACAATAAATGGTTAAAATCAGATACAAAGGAATACCTGAAAAAACTTATCACTTATCCCGGTTGGAGTAAATTGGATTATATACAAGTAAAACAACGTGGCCTTTTTTTGAGCATTGATAATTTAAAAAGACCCATTGAAAATAATAGTTACACCTCTGTACTAGGACACATTGCAATGCTCATCAAGTGCAGATACGTAGAAATACTTTATTATTTTGACTTCGTGTTGATTACTCTTATAAACTCATGTTATAATGAAAAAAATGTTAATAGTAGTTCGCAAACATTTGATGCAAATACAAAAAATGTTTTTACTCAATGTGCATTTTACGTTTACTCTTCAATGAAAATATCAGTAAAAATGCTCAAATGTTTACTAATTGCATTAGAAAAAATAAGAATGTCTTCAAGAATTCCTCCTCAGCGAACATCAATGATGCCTTTAGAAGTAATAATTAATCAAATAAAAAATTTTATTGATGACTTTGAATTGAATAATTATGCAGCGCCAGATTTCAGCGAGTTAATTGCTACTCAGTACTTGGAAAGTCTTCAAAAACTTTTAGTTGAAAATGTAAACACTAAACTTAATGATATTATATGTAAAAATGTTACTTTCTGTCAAACTCTTATTGTATTATTAGATAAAAATTATTTAAAAAAAAAATTGTACGTATCGTTAGAATTACCGTCAGAAGAGACAAATGTTTCGTATAAAAAGTTATGTGAATATTTAATCAAGTTCTGCAATGATGTAATTTGGGATGACTTTAGAAATCTTGGTTTTGAGCAAACTATTCTTTAGCTGTACTTTTGAAACTATTAAAACCAATAAACCTATAATTTATATTTTATGAGTATTAATTAGTTATTGTATTTCACATTTAATTATTTATAAGCATTCCTAAGAAAAGCTTCTCGAAATATCATCAAAAATAATTGAGGCTTACTATTATTGTATTTTTTTTAAACATTAATAGTTTTTTCTGAGTTACTTTAAACGATAAATCAATCTTCTGCTATCCAACCTTATGCCCTAAGATATCTACTTCCATTTTACAAATGACTTTTTTTTAATATTATATCTAACTGGTCGGTAGCTAACGAAATATTAACGTAACATTTTGATCTTTAATGTAGACTTTATTTCATACGATATATTTTTTTTATACACTTTGCGATACGACGTTTTGCTTTAGGTGCGTGCACATTTGCAGATGTCCGACTACAACTAGATGACATTTAAAAGCCTGCGCGACATCGCCCCCTACCACCTACTCGCATTCAATATTTAATAAAATTTACACCACTAACAATAATTAAAGTAACTCTCTTAAAAATTAAATGGTTTTTGAATTTAAAGAACGATTACTCATAGAGAAATAATCACCGAAACGATTTTATTTTTTTAATCATATATTGAATTAAACAAAATTTAATATGAATTTATTCAGAATTAAGTAAATATTCCATTATTTTGCAAAAAAAAAATCAAATTCGGTAATTACTAAAAATTGTATGATATTTAGACTAGTTAACTAATAGATCTTACAAATTATGTGTTTCAATAGTTTTTGTTTATCAGCTTCAATGCGAACCTGAGAAGGTATTAGTTTAACAATGTTTATTATGATGGTATTTATTTTATGACTGTCCGTTAAAATTCTCTTCCCTTGCTGGACCATTTTTAATGATAAATACGTCAAAAGAACTCGATTTTAATCTTGTTGAACTTTTTGAAATTTGAAAAAAACCGACTCATTTAAAAATTTAAAAAAATATCTTAAAATTAGGATACCATAAAAAATGGCATTTTCAAATTCTTTTTTTTATTTTAAAATTAATATGACTTTTTAAAAAAACTCGCATAAATTATTTATAAGATATATAAAAGAAAATGAGCTTTCTTTTGTTTTGCTATATGTGAAAATCTGATAAAAAACCTATGCACAGAAAGAGTTAAAAAGGACCATTTACGCATGTAAACATTATTTTCAACTCAATTTTTAAAAATATTCCGGTACGTCTAATAATTTTTATAATATACCAAATTAAAGCTTTTCAAGTTTACTACAAATTAAACAAATATCTCACTATTGATCTATTTGAATCCCGGTGGTACATTCTGTATACTTGAAATTAAATTAAAAATTCAACAATGATATTATTTTTAGTACATGTCATCACTTACAAGGTTGCATTCTTATTTAAATATGTGTTATCAAATATATTTGTATTGTCGAAACGATGGTATTTCATGTACTTTATATTCCTATAGTATAGTAATTATTTGTTTAGCAGAAGTGTATAGATTAAACGATTGCAGAAATGTTCAATACACTTTTAGTGATAAAAGAAATTATTTAACAAGCCTTTAATATCTGAGAGAAATTTAAGAAACATAGAAATTGTAAAATTACAATTATAAAAATTATTGTGAAACATTAAAGATTCGTTTCAAAGCGTGTTTTTATGACAGTGATGAGAATTACTGTCAGATATCATCTATATTTATCCCAATTCTCCCGCATCCCCAGTATGCTCCGTTAATCTGTATTGGGTTTTTTTTTATTTAAAATTTTTTTTTAATAAATAAAACTTTAAACCTATAGGTATTTATTACTACTCTAATTACTATTGTGATGATATCATGTCATCAATATTGTTTGAAATAATAAAATAGAACAAATTTATATAACACATCTACCATTAGTGACTAATAATTTGACAATTAAACAAAAAAATGCAACTATACATTCAATTAATATTTACTTAAACCCCATCGACCTGGTTATCGTGGTTAATCAATTCTAGTACACACCTTGAGAGTTATAGTCTAACATCAGTCTCTGTATTTGATCATTGCTGACAGATTTTCAACCTAACATCAAGAGTTTGTTTATTCATAAATCCTTTGACTACCTTGTACGCTCTTTCACTTAACTCAAATACTCTTGCCTTAGATCTTGCTGCTGTTTGGTTTTATCTTTTTGATGGTACGCTAAGTACTTGTGTTTGTACCTTATACGATGGTCTTTCTATCTTATCCTTTTCATAACGACGGCTATTCGACATACCCTCGATAGTACTGGAGTGTTAGTCAACCATACTATGACTTATTATATTTAATTTTGTCTTAGGTCATTACAATGAATGTATTTGTAACTATAAAAACTTTTCATTCTTATTTTGTTGTGTATAATTAGGAATCTGATCCCACCGGACAATAAATGGTTAAGATCAAATACAAAGGAATACCTGAAAAAACTTATCACTTATCCCGGTTGGAGTAAATTGGATTATATAAAAGTAAAACAACGTGGCCTTTTTTTGAGCATTGATAATTTAAAAAGACCCATTGAAAAAAATAGTTACACCTCTGTACTAGGACACATTGCAAGGCTCATCAAGTGCAGATACGTAGAAATACTTTATTATTTTGACTTCGTGTTGATTACTCTTATAAACTCATGTTATAACGAAAAAAATGTTAATAGTAGTTCGCAAACATTTGATGCAAATACAAAAAATGTTTTTACTCAATGTGCATTTTACGTTTACTCTTCAATGAAAATATCAGTAAAAATGCTCAAATGTTTACTAATTGCATTAGAAAAAATAAGAATGTCTTCAAGAATTCCTCCTCAGCGNACATTAGAAAAAGTAAGAATGTCTTCAAAAATTCCTCGTCAGCGAAGATTAATGATGCCTTTAGAAGTAATAATTAATCAAATAAAAAATTTTATTGATGACTTTGAATTGAATAATTATGCAGCGCCAGATTTCAGCGAGTTAATTGCTACTCAGTACTTGGAAAGTCTTCAAAAACTTTTAGTTGAAAATGTAAACACTAAACTTAATGATATTATATGTAAAAATGTTACTTTCTGTCAAACTCTTATTGTATTATTAGATAAAAATTATTTAAAAAAAAAATTGTACGTATCGTTAGAATTACCGTCAGAAGAGACAAATGTTTCGTTTAAAAAATTATGTGTGTATTTGTTTAAATTCTACAATGATGTAATTTGGGATGACTTTAGAAATCTTGGTTTTGAGCAAACTATTCTTTAGCTGTACTTTTGAAACTATTAAAACCAATAAACCTATAATTTATATTTTATGAGTATTAATTAGTTATTGTATTTTACATTTAATTATTTATAAGCATTCCTAAGAAAAGCTTCTCGAAATATCATCAAAAATAATTGAGGCTTACNATTTTCGAAAATATTACAGTTAATAATTATTTTATTTTTTAACAATAATGCTTCTTTTTTCAATTCCCTGTGGATAGGAGTCTCCTATTAGGAGATAAGAATACTTCCACGGTCCCTTTGCTAGTCGTAAGAGGCGACTAATGAGGTTGCGTCACGTCGACAGCCGGCGTAAAATTTTTGTATATACATACAAAAATTTATATTTTATATTATAAAAATATATATTTTATATTTTAAAAATATATATTGTCAAATAGTATGAGGTGTCCTGAACAAAACTTAGGCGAATTGTCCCGTCTCGGATGTACGCGGGGACAATAGCTGTGGCCGACCCCAGATAGTTGGGATTAAGGCGAGGAAGAAGAAGAATAATGTTTATTTTTTTAGCCAATTTACTTTAAAAATTGATTATTTACTATTATTAATTTATCTTACTTATTTTATTCTATTCTTAATGACGGAAAAATTGTCAATAAACACTTTTTTTTTGGTATTATCATTCTGATTATATTAAAAATACAATACGGTTCATTTTATGTAACATCTGTAGATTTTATATACACATATATAGAATTAATATAGTCAATATCCAGTTTTGCTGGTTAATAATTTTAAAAACTTAAAATTTTAGACTTAATGTTATTTGTAGTTTATAAGTGCAAATACAAGGGCGATTTCAATTAACTGGGTCAAAAATATCAAAAAGTCCCACCTTTTACTTTTAAAATTACACGCAAANCGATTTCAATTAACTGGGTCAAAAATATCAAAAAGTCCCACCTTTTACTTTTAAAATTACACGCAAATATTATTAATTGATATGATTTGTGAGAAATTTTAGATTTATTATTTATTTAGTCTTATTGAATTTAAATATGGCAAAAAAATGACATTTTTTATTAACTTATAAAATTACTACCAAATTGTTCACCGGTCAGTTTTTTTTAATCTATATTTTGTTTTTAGTTTAGAGCCCAGAAAATAATGATAATATAGATTTCTAATATTCTTTGGTCTTTCCGGTTGTTCAATATTCACTTAAAATTAATTTACTAAAAGTCAACTGTATAAAAATTATAATATCTGGTACAGATGGATATTTGTTAAAATTTATAGCAAGGCTAGAATAATCTAGTATAATAAAATGACTAAGGAAGCCAACTTCTGATAATACAGAAATATTATTAATTTTAGGGGGCTATTAAAATTTTAAAAGCGGCCTCTCTTGTTTAAGCCGATAATTGTGACCCTTAAGAGGCTATGCAAAAAAAGTGTGTACCATAAGTAACGTTAGCGAAAGTCCGGAGTGGCATTAAAGATCAAATTAATATTTTAATATATACATAGATATACATTTTAATTTATTTTATACGATATAACTCAAAAAACTCTTTTAATTAGGTAACTATACCTTTAAAACCTCAACTAACGCGATACAAAGAAAAATATTATCACAATTTCTGTAAAGATTAGGAACGCGTAAAAAAAAAAAATAAAATCACTTAAATTTGATAGAAAACAATTTTTTATGCAAAATATAATATATTTATTATATAAAACGAATATATGTTCTTATTAAATGAACAGAGAGGATTTAAAAAAAAAAACCCAGCACAGGAGGGTCGCGGCACAGTGGTGACGTGG